CCAGCATCACCTTAAAGACAGTAGCCCTCGCGTCGAGTTTAAGGGGGAAGGCGCGTTCCGTTCTTCAATCTGTTGAAAATATTGAGGATTTAGATTTTGCAGAACTAGTTTCGAAATTGGAACTTCGTTTCGGAGAGGTACATTCCTTCCAAAATTATTACTCGCCAGGGTCGCAATAACGCGGGCGCAACAATACGTTGAACAGCTTTGACCCCTGTACACCACCAAATTTCATCAAGATCGATTATTAACACTTACGTAATTTTTTCTGTAGAATCGAATGGTGCTATCGGATTTTACGTAACTCGCATTTTAAAACAAACAAATTATTTTAACAATATTTGTTTAAATAATTGAAAAATCTAATTTTTTATGAAACATTTGTGAAATGTTCTCATCCCAATATTGATCTTTCTATTATATTATATCTATTGGTCTGCCCATGGGACCCTTAATGGGCTAAACGAATACGATAGCGTGTCATAGTTCAATGTTAAAACTTTCTTGATTATATTTGAATTTCCTCCAAAGCCGTCTTTTATTTATTACAGGAAGACGCAAAACGTGTTGCGCGAAGAATCGGTCATATGGACAACCCATACGACCAATACCTCATATCAAATTTTTAACTCACCCCCTACCCCTTTCTCACGATTTCTTTAGCTACGCAGAAGATTACCAGAATTTTTGTTTTGTTACTTGCTTTTACTTTGTATTTAACGTAGTAAAAGAGCACAACTAACTTACAAATGTTCTAAATTTGCGTAGCAGTATGATTTATATGTTTTTTTTCATTTATAATGTGAATTTCTTTTATCGAAACGGAATGAGATATCAAAACTTTTTCAACGGCACAACACAGCACAAATTAGTGCCAATTTAGGGAAAAAAAATTGGGTTCAATCGGACAAAAGTGCGGGGCTAGTGAAATTTTTTTCTCGGTTGTTGTTTGAGCTATCGATTTTTTATTTGCGACACAAAGCACCACAAACGTAGCACAATGCAGCACAGCTTGGAAAAATTCAAAATTTGTTAAGTGCTGGGCTGTCAAAAATTTGTTTTTTTTTAAATAGAAAAATGTGTTGTTGAGCTGCGGTTTACGGCACAAATTAGTACACTGCAGCACAATTTAGAGCAATACAAAATTCAAAAAGTGCGGGGCTAACTTCACACACGTCATGCAAGGGGCGAGTACGAGCGGCGAGCGCCAGCGGTGGGCGACACGGGACACATCGCTCGCTGTTTTTATTTTCCGGTGTTAAGTTACGTCGCGCGTCGCTCCTCCCCTCGCTCACCGTTGCTAGAAGATCTGGTAAAAAAATTAAGTTATCTGACATACTTTCCGAGCCCTATCAAAGCCTAACGCTTTCCACGCGCTCATTCGCTCAGATGTTTCAATAAATTATTCGATAACTATTGTGAATTTTGTAAAATGGTACATGACTTTTCTTCTTAGTCTGACTCAATCTACCGCAAATTTATTTCTTAAACGTACAACGTTTCGGCCATGGGTTTTGGCCCTTTTCAAGCAGACTATTTTGATGTTTGGAACGCCATCAGATCGCTGAATCACATTATAATTACTTCAATTAAGGTATTTACAGAGTTTAGAAAATGTTTTAAACTTACAGTTAAACATGTCGTGTAATGGCAATCGCTTAACAAGACGAGGATCGAATGTCTTTCCGTTGCGAAGGCTAAACAAAGACTGACAGTGGAGAGACATGCGTTCAAGTCCATAAATAAATTAAGTGTCATGAAAAACAAAAATACGGAGACTAGACAGAGTTGATTATCTTATCGTAGATCGGGTTAAGGTTATCGGTGTCTTTCTGTAGGTTAATCGTATCATCGAATTTAATATAATCGAATTAAAATATAAAATATTTAGGCACTAACACTCTGTCACTGCTTTTAGTTCTTTATTCCTTTCATTTTGTGTTTATCATATTTGAGCCATACGAATTTTCATTAATTTGTTAAAATAAAATTTTTTCTTTATAACGGGAGAACGTAATAATTTTAAATTGTTAGCCGTTTTTAGGAGTAAATTATATTTTAATGGGAAATGTTTCCGAGATTGCAGCATGAAATGAAATTTTGTGGCTTCGCGTGCCTTGCATACTTGATATACATGTTTGATACGCGAATTGCAGTTGAATTATCGACCACAGCTTATAGGAAATTTAGGATTTAACCAAATTAGAGTTATATAGAAAGATTGACACAAGCTATCAGTTACCTTTAATCTTCCTGTTAAGCACATGCTATTTATCTTTACGTAATAGTGGGATTGAAGTAATTAATCAGAACTAACTAGTAATTAGTGCAAATTTTGCTCTTAATAAATAGCTTTGTCCGAAATGTTTTGTTCTTACACAATGAATTGCATTAAATATATGTATAATAAACAATAGAAAAAAAGTTAAGGGACGGAAGGCACGAGAGAGTGGCACAAGGTGAAAAAGGAGAAAAGCGGACAAAGAGGAGATATAGGAAGAGAAGAGCGGAAGGAAAGGAGGAAGGAGAGAGAGATTGAAGGCAGGGGCGGAGGAAGAGGGAAGGAAGACGAAGGGAGAGAGGAGAGAGAAGCCACAGGGAAATCAGAGGCGAACGAGGGAAGAAGAAGGAGAGGAGTGGGGGGAGGGAAGGAAGAGGCGTAGTTAAAGAGGGAGGAGGAGAAGAGAAGAAAACGCGAAGAGGAAGCGGAGGAGTGAGAAGAGGAGGAGGAAAGGTGACGAGAGGAGAAGGAGGAATGGAGAGAGGAGTTAAGAGAGTTGGGGGAGGAGATGGGGGGCAGCTGAGAGGGATAGCAAAGGATTTGAAGAAAATAAGGAAATGGATGGAGGAGAGAGAAGAGAGAGAGAAGGGAGAGGAAGAGACAGGAAGAGGAGAAGTGGAGAAGAGAGAGAGGAGGAAGAGACGGAGAGAAAAGTGAAAGACAGGAATACAGGATAGGAAGAGGAAGGAAGGGGGACGAGGGAGAAGGAAGGAAGAGATGAGAAGAAGAAAGAAGACGGAGGAGGATAAGAAGAGTGAGTAATAAGGAGACGGAGGAGACAGAGGAAGAAAAGAAGAGAATTGGCTAAAGGGGACGGGGGTTGAGGGGTGAGAGGGAAAAGGGAGGAAAAGAAGAGATGGAGAGAAGGGAGGATAGGGTGGAAGGGAGAAAGGGAGGAAGAAAAGAGAGTGAGAAGAGAGGTGAAGAGGAAGAAGGAGATGGGGACAAGACGGAAGGAAAAGGTGGAAAAAGAAAGGATAGGAAGGGAGACCGGAGAGGAGACAGAGGAATCAGAGGAGGAAAAAAGCGGATGGAGGAAGCAGGGAGTAGAGAGGGAAAGGAGGGGGGAGGGAAGAAGGAAAGGATAGAAATGAAAAACGGGGGAGAGGAGGATAGATGGTAGGGAGGGGAAGAGAGAAGGAGGGAATGGGGAAGCAGAGGAGAAGAGGAAGAGGAGGGAGGGAAAAAGGTGGAAGAAGAGAGAGGAACTAGAGGGAGAGATGGAGAGGTAGACAGGGGAGAGTGGAGGGAAGAGAAAAGAAGGAGAAGGCTAAGGAGAGGGGTAGAGGGAGAGGGCAGGGAAGAGAGAAGGCGGAGAATGATGAAAGTGACAGAGAAATTGTTAGGGAAGCCCCGGAAATAAAAGAAATAATAGAGAGATTGGAGGAGGAGGGGAGGGTAGTTATGATTGTCGAGATGAGGAGGGAGGAAGATAAGGAAGAGATATAAAACCAGATGGATAGTATAAGAATGAGATGGGGATAAGAGTAGATGAGGACTGAGTATAGAAGAGAGGAGAATAAGATGGAAGATGATAGAAAAGGCAGGGAAAGAGAGGGCTATGGGGAGAAGGGTAAGGGTGGAGAATAGGAGGATGTGGATAGATGGGAGGGAAGGGAAATGGATGGGAGAGGGGAAGGAGGAGAGGAATGGAAGAGAATTTGTTGCCACCGATACTCTTAATCGACGGGAAATCGGATAAATGAATCACAATCCGGAATAGGCTCTATAACTCTAAGACTTTAATGCAAAAAGAACTGATACAATGGTTAATCTTTCTTGTCGAACCTTCTAGACGAGACTATATATATATATATAAGCGTTCGTACTTATGCCACGAGAGAAGTCCTCGCGGCGGTAGCGCTCTTTTAGAGAGGGCGCAACTCGAACATCCTCCCACCTCAAGTTGCTTGTTCGGTCCACTAAGCAACTTGAAACTAAAATCCTAGTCACTCCGGTCTTTTGATCGTGCGTCCACTTCTTGTCCTCAGCTCGGGAACTGTCTTCTCTTCAGGAACTGGTACAGGTTCCGGGTGTTCTCTGACCTCGGCAAGCGGCAGATCCAAATAAAAGGGTTTCTCCGAATTTTCCTTAGAAAACGACTCGTATCTGTCCATCTTTTCCAGGGTAACATTCTTTAATTCTCGCCATGGGCCAATTGAGTCGCTTCTGCAAATCGTTAGCGACAAGAACAACGTCGCCTACTGAAAAGGAAGTTGCCGTGTGCTTGTTCTTGTTCCGTTGAGACAACTGTCCTAAGTACTGGATGCGAAACTGCTTCCGCAACTCTTCTTTCAGTCTCTGTCGATAACGCAAACTCTTCGACAGATGAGACTTGCTTATCTGGTCCAGGTCAGGTACTCCGTCCTCCTGAATATCTCGGAGGAACATGGCAGGTGTGATCGCAGCGGTTCCACTCGCTTCCTCGGTTATATATGTGAGTGGTCTTGAATTGATGACCGCTTCGCAATCACACAAAATTGTATTCATTTCTTCGTAATTGACTGAAGTTCTTCCAAGCGTTCTCTTCAAGAGGTCCTTCAGAATGCGTATAAGACGCTCCCACCAACCTCCCCACCATGCGGCTGACGGTGGATTGAAATGCCACTCCACTTCATTTGTGGCACAATACCGCGAAATCTTCTTCCAGTTGACTTGTCGCAGTAGATTTGACATTCCGACAAAATTCCTTCCATTGTCGCTATAAATGACGGTAGGTCTTCCTCGCCGGACTATAATCCGGACTATAAATCTTCTTAAGGCCTCCAAGAATCCCTCCGTAGACAAGGTCGAGACGAGTTCCAGGTGAACTGCTCGGTAGATTGCACAGGTAAACAGGCAAATATACGCTTTGTGTCCCTTGGATAAGAAGAGCGGTCCGGCATAATCTACACCTGTTACCTCGAATGCAGCGGCGTCTCTAACTCTATACTCTGGCAAAATCGCAGACTGGGATTCCATTCTCTTTGCGCTGTATCTGCGACATGTGACGCACTTGCGAATTACCGAACGTACTGCTTTGCGGCTTTGAAGAATCCAAAACTTTTCTCGTAGGTTGTTCATAGTGGTGCTTATGCCCGCATGATTCAGTTTCACATGCGTGTAACGAATAATCTTCTCTGTCAGTAAGTGCTTTGGATCAAGAATTATTGGATACTTAAAATTGAAATTGTCTTGTCGATTAGAAATCACTGTTCGTGAGCGTAAAAGTCCTCAAAGACGTCCAGTTTTAGTAGTCGCGGATCTTTTGCTCCTTTGAACGATTCTTTCTGTGCCAATCGACACAAAAGCAATTCAGCCGAAATCACTTCTTTCGCAGTTACCTCTTCATCCTTGATCGTGTGTGTCTTCTTGCAATTTGTGATGAACCTTGACATCCATGCCATCAGACGTAAAACTTTGGAATACGATGAAAATCTTTGTAAATACCATGGAACACCTTGTGCTGTAGAGTCCTTCGTAATGTTACTCATAACTATATTCCCCCCAACCACAGAAAATGTCTCTTCTTTAATTTTTGACTGTGTTGGAGTTTTACGAAGTTCTTCATTAATTAGTGCTTCTTCTTCTTCTGCTGGCCATTCTTCGGGTGGTGACTTTAGCCATGCTGGGCCCTCCCACCATCTAGACTCAAAAAGCTTCCTCGCATTACAGCCTCTGGAGGGCAAGTCTGCCGGATTTAGGGCTCCAGGCACATATCTCCAGGACTTTGGATTAGTAAGCTTCCTTATTTCCTGGACTCGATTCCACACGAATACCGCCCATTGCTTCTCTTGACGTATCCAGGACAAGACGGTCGTTGAATCGCTCCAGAAATATCTCTTAATATGTTTATAATTCATTGCTTTGTCGAAGGAGTGCATCATCCTTGCTCCGATTGAAGCAGCCAGTAACTCGAGACGGGGTATCGTTTTCTTTCCTTGCGGTGCTACCCTTGACTTTGCTTCAACTAGATGCACCTTGACTTCTGCTCTGGATCGCACTCTGATAAACAGAGCGGCGGCGTAGGCATCCTTGCTTGCATCTACAAAAATATGGAAGGATATAGAATCCTCATCCCGCTGCTCACCAAAAATCCAGCGAGGAATCTTCATGACTCGTAGTAAATTTAACTGCTGCATCCATTCTAGAAATTGACTTCTGTTCTCTGCATCAATCTCAGTGTCCCAGTCGAGATGTTGACTCCAGAATTGTCGTAACATCAGTTTCGGTATCAGCTGCACAGGGCATATGAAACCTAGGGGATCAAATACTCTCTGCACCGATGAGAGTACGACTCCT